TGGGCTGAAGGCCCAGTGACTGTTTCAAGGTCTAATAGTTTGCAAGCCACTAGGTGCAGAGGTGGCTGTTATATGTCATTGGAAAGCTGAGACTCGTGGATTTCCAAGGACACTTCACAGCCAATGAGGAGTCAACCACCGAAGTTGTATGAAGGAAGCTTGTTTAACTTCAGTGGGCAATTGTAGGACCTCTTGAATAGGAAATTAGCATATCAGCAGTAGCGTGGAATTCAAACAGTGTATCAGACATTTTTCCTGGGAGAGGCATCACAGACAAGATATTAAAGTTAATCTGCTAACTTTCTTTGCTTCTTTTTTAGTTTAAAGGTTGATGATAAAAGTATGGCGGGGGTGGGGGTGGAAATAATGCAGTACATTAGGTGACAAGTTTGCTATTATACCTCATGTTCTCTGACTTACCAGGGCAGAGAAGCACAATCGACAGACTAATACAAATGCTTTCAGGACCTTTTCTAAGCATGTGTTCCAGGCAGCACCTGCACCCATCTGCCATTACTGAGTGGAAAGATGCGGAGGCTGGTGGTCTTTTCCCATACACTAAGGAGAAAGGATATGGTGTCTGCCTGAACTGGGTTTGGAAGCAGGTCTACTGTGGCCTCTGTTTGTAGCACAGCATTCTGGCCTGCAATCCAGCCACTGAGTCCCTCCCGCACACACAGCGAGGTTGCTGAACCTGTTACCAATGGAGGTGTTGAAGATTTAGAAATTCAGCTGATGTAAATCAACACAGCCCCACTGTCTTCAGTGTTTTGACCCTGAGGTCAAAAAGTTTTCCAAAGACCACAATTGACTGACAAACGAATGTCCATTTGATTTCACATGGTAGTACCAAAACAGGACATCCTAATCACACACTTCACTGCTAAATAGAGAAGCACATAATAGACTGGCTTGTGCCCGAAGGGTAGGAGTTTCAAAAGAGCCTAAGGAAGTTAGTTGCCTCACTCCCGTTGACTCTCCCTGGCAGTTAGCACTTTGTGTGGCTTTTTCCAGTGGTGCCCTAATGAACATCCAGTGTTGGAGTTAGATATCGTAGTGGGAACACAGTAGCACTAATATTGAATAAAAAGGAGGGAATAGTTAGATGAAAGGACTAACTTGAATTTGTTTAAGTTCCGTATTGTTATCTGAATAGGGACACGTCACTCCCCTGCAGAAGTAGCAGATGTCCGAAGCCTTTGCAGATCAGCTTCCGAGGGGAGAGGAAATCTGTGATGTGAGGCCAGGGTATAGCGTATGTATAACTTGTATAATTAATGCTATATACAGCAGTCCTTGGACAGAGGTGGTCACAACCAGCATGAGGCTAGCCCCCTTTTCCAGACAAATCATCCCAGAAACCAATGCCCACCTCCCAAGGAACATCTTTTTCTCAGGATTTGACTTTAGTTAGAGAGATTAAAACAGGAAGCAAACTTTTTTGCTGCTTCTCTACAGCAGCCACATGGAAACCACAACAGTAAACCAACAACGAGGCATTTTTCCAAATATGAAATCTTGCTTGTACGCTAAAATCTTGCAAGACTCTGTGTAACAGTGCCATTGTGTGACCCAGCCATAATAGTGCCTGTGCAAGCGAGAGGCTCACTTCATAGAACTTCCCCTCCAGTGTTCCAGCTGAACACCCTAGCCAAGTAATTGGGATGATGTTAGAAATTTTCATATGGCTTTCTGCGGGACAGCTGTTCAGTCACTTGCTTCCATTCGTTCCTGTTGTTGCTCTGGGTTTATAGAGGTCAGGAGGGAAACGAGCCCAGTGACAAGCACAAGTAATGGAGTGTTTCATGCTGAAAGGGATGATAGAATGATAAACAACAATGGATAGAGCAGCTGAAAGACCGCAGGCAGTGTGTGTGTCTAGCTGCACGAGTTCCCCAACAGAGGAGAGGATACAATAACTGGCACCACTGTATCAGCCATTCAAAAATCATGATTTTAAAAACTAACAAATATGGGGTTCATATTTTATTTGCCTTCCTGGCTGGAGCCTTTAGAGTTTACATTTTCAGACCTTTCTCTACAAACTAGGGCTGTCAAGCAATTAAAAAAAATGAATTGTGATTAATTGCACTGTTAAACAATAATAGAATACCATTTATTTAAATATTTTGGTGTTTTCTACTCTTTCAAATATATTGATTTCAATTACAACACAGAATACAAAGTATACAGTGCTCACTTTATATTTTTTATTACAAGTGTTTTGCACTGTAAAAAATCAAGAGGTTTTTTCAGTTCACCTAATACCAGTACTGTGATGGAATCTCTTTTTATCATTAAAGTTGAACTTACAAATGTAGAATTATTTCAAAAAAACTTTTATTTTTAATGTAAAATTTTAGAGCCTGCAAGTCCACTCAGTCCTACTTCTTGTTCAGCCAATCACTCGGACAAACAAGTTCGTTTACATTTGCAGGAGATAATGCTGCCCGCTTCTTGTTTACATTGTCCTTTGAAAGTGAGAACAGGTATTCTCAGGGCACTGTTGTAGCCAGTGTCACAAGATATTTACATGGCAGAAGTGCTAAAGATTCATATGTCCCTTGATGCTTCAACCACAATTCCAGAGGACGTGCGTCCATGCTGATGACGGGTTCTGCTTGATAACAATCCAAAGTAGTGCAGACCAACGCATGTTCATTTTCATCATCCGAGTCAGATGCCACCAGCAGAAGGTAGATTTTTCTTTTTTGTTTCAGGTTCTGTAGTTTCCGCATCGGAGTGTTGCTCTTTTCAGACTTCTGAAAGCATGCTCCACACCTCGTCCCTCTCAGATTTTGGAATGCACTTCAGATTCTTAAACCTTGGGACGAGTGCTGTAGCTATCTTTAGAAATCTCACATTGGTATCTTCTTTCACTGTAGATTTCACAAAACGCAAAGTGTTCTTAAAATGAACAAAATGTGCTGGGTCATTGTCCGAGACTGCCATAACATGAAATACATGGCAGAATACGGGTAAAACAGTGCAGGGGCCATACAATTCTCCCCCAAGTAGTTCAGTCACAAATTAACGCATTTTTTTTAACGAGAGTCATCAGCATGGAAGCATGTTCTCTGGAATTGTGGCCAAAGCATGAAGGGCCAAAAGAATGTTTAGCATATCTGGCACATAAATACCTTGCAATGCCAGCTACAAAAGTGCCATGCAAATGCCTCTTCTCACTTTCTGGTGACATTGTAAATAAGAAGCAGGCAGTATTATATCCTGTAAATGTAAACAAACTTAGCGATTGGCAGAACAAGAAGTAGGACTGAGTGAACTTGTAGACTGTGACGTTTTATATTGTTTTTGAGTGCAGTTATGTTACACACACAAATCTACATTTGTAAGCTGCACTTTCACAACAAAGATTGCAGTACTTGTATGAGATGAATTGAAAAATACTATTTTGTTTATCACTTTTAATTACAAATATTTGCACTGTAATATACACTTTGATTTCAATTACAACACAATACAATATACACGAAAATGTAGAAAAACATCTACAATATTTAATTTTTAATTGGTATTCTATTTAATAGTGCAATTAATCACGATTAATTTTTTTGAGTTAATAGCATGAGTTTGAGAACCTGGATTTGTGCAGGAAATAGCCCGACTTGATTATGTAAAGAGTTGTCACTTTGGATGGGCTAGCACCAGCAGGAGAGTGAATTTGTGTGGGGGGGTGGAGGGTGAGAAAACCTGGATTTGTGCTGGAAATGGCCCACCTGATGATCACTTTAGATAAGCTATTACCAGCAGGACAGTGGGGTGGGAGGAGGTATTGTTTCATATTCTCTGTGTATATATAAAGTCTGCTGCAGTTTCCACGGTATGCATCTGATGAAGTGAGCTGTAGCTCACGAAAGCTCATGCTCAAATAAATTGGTTAGTCTCTAAGGTGCCACAAGTACTCCTTTTCTTTTTGCGAATACAGACTAACACGGCTGTTACTCAGAAACCATGAGGCTTGCATTAACATCATAAGAGTCGGCAACACTGCAAAGTTTTATAGTTGGGGAGGGGCTGATGGAACCCAGCAGAGAGTGGAGGTAATGTGGATTTAGTGAAATTTGCACATAGGATGCGCTTTAGTTAATTGAAATCTTTTCTTCCATCACATCCTTGTGAGAATCAGTATTAATATAACAACCTTCCCTGTGTCCTGCATTCTACCCAAAGTTAACAGCTTCCCAGTTGCATCTGGTATCTCTCGCACCCATCTCCAAGCCACCCATGCTAGGAATTGCCACCCAGTTTGACATGCACAAAGTTCTTTTCTCTCCTCCTCCACAATAGTTCTGAAAATTCATCTGTTCCAAGGAGCATCCTCTCAGCAATGACTATGTGCCACTTTGCTTGTTCACTATACTGTAACTATTTATTTGTGCCTTTAGACGGTAAGATCTTTGCATCAGGGACCCTGCCTAGCATAGAAATATTCCTATATTGCATAGGATTAGAAGGGGCTTCCTAGGTCATTAAGTCCAATCCTGTGCTATCACAGACAACTCTATCTCTTTAAGCCCGTTAAATAAACTTATCAAGCCCTATGTCTTGCTCCCATTGGAATGCTATCCCAGAAATGTGGCAAATGTTACCTCCTGTAAAGCACCATGTACATTTGCATCAACTTAGAAACAATAACATGCAGAAAGTTTCTGGCAAAAACATCCCCTTGCCTGAATGATATTCCAGGGACCATGTTAGGGTAGCCAAATCCAATTCAAGTCAACATAAAAAAATGAGAGGGAGCATGCTGTAGTGGCTCCTTGCCCCCTGGGATCCATTCTTCCAGATCTAGGAAGTTGCTTGGACAAGCCACTTAACCACTCTGTAAAATAATACTCCCCTGGCTCACAGGTGCTGTGAGGCTTAAGTCATTGAAGTTTGTAAGTGCTTTGGTGAAAGGCTCTCTAGTATTATTCAGAATTAACAAAATTGGTGTGCTCCCTAAGCCATTAAGACTAACAAGGAATATGTCATTTTAGGGGCAAGATGAAGCTAACCAGTGACGCCAACATGGAAGAGATCTCTCTGGAGGATGAGGACAGAGACACCGTGGAATACAAAGTTCTTATGGCCTATGCCCAGCGGCGTCTCTCTGTGAGTAAATACAGGCAACTTCTGGAAAGGGAGGCGAAGACCTTGAAAGGATCGTCTACAGAGAGAGGGGAAAGGGAAGGGATCCCTCAAGCCAATAAGGGTGAGACGCACCAAGAATTGTCAGTCCAGGACAAAGGGCCCGCTGCCCAACGTAAAAAGCAAAGGAAGAAAAAGTTCATGCAGAGATGCCTGCTGCTTTTCTCCTGTGCCAGAGGAGAGAGGGAGAAGGGCCCACAGGAGCTAGCCACAAACCAAGACACTGTGAATGGGTATGGCTTAAAGTTGCAGATGGCACTCCAGACCTCTTCTCCAGAGTCAGAAGGTGGGTGCCTGAATAGTTTCTCTTTCTGTCTCCAGTCCCTTTTTCATGCTGGTTTCTATTTCTCTCCTAAATAGCTTATTGATGGCTGATAATGCTGCCTTTCTCCTTTACTTGTTAATATATTCTTTCATGCCAGCTGTGGGAATAAAATTGCCAGTCCTGGTCCCTAAACAAAAAACAGAGTAGATTCATGCTTGTAATATACCTTTTAGTCTCCACACTGAACCTATACACAGGCCATGAATATCCTACCATAATTGTACAACTGCGCAGATTTGCTTTTCCAAGCACTAGTTTATTGTTCCCTGAACTGGGCTAAAGAATGTAATGAAGAGTAGTTTAAGAAAAACAATAGATGTGGGCCAGACTGCAGTCTCCTATGGTAAAATCAGCAAAGAGAGGGCTGAGAGGGACTCATCCAAGGGGTCTACTCAAGCAGTTTTCCTCATAGAATCATAGGATTGGAAGGGGTCATCTAGTCCAGTCGCTTACAGTCATGGCAGGACTAAGTATTTGGCCATCTGTGACAGGTGTTTGTCTAACCTGCTCTTAAAAAATCTCCGATAGAGATTCCACAGCCTCACTGGGCAATTTATTCCAATGCTTAACCACCCTGACAGTTTGGAAGTTTTTCTGAATGTCCAACCTAAATCTCTCTTGCTGCAATTTAAGCCCATTGCTTCTTGTCCTATCCTCAGAGGTTCAGGAGAACAATTTTTCTCCCTCCTTCTTGTAACAACCTTTTATGTACTTGAAAACTGTTATCATGTCCCCTCTGTTTTCTCTTCTCCAGACTAAACAAACCCAATATTTTCAGTCTTTCCTCATATGTCATGTTTTCTAGACCTTTTAATAATTTTTGTTCTTCTCTGAACTCTCTCCAATTTGTCCACATCTTTCCTGAAATGTAGCTCCCAGAACTGGACACACTACTCCAGTTGAGGCCTAATCAGCACAGAGTAGAGCAGAAGAATTACTACTTGTGTCTTGCTTGCAACACTCCTGCTAATACATCCCAGAATGATATTTGCATGTGGTGTGTTTTTGTTTGTTTGTTTTTTTGTTTTTTGCAGCGTTATATTGTTAACTCATTTAGTTTGTGGTCCACTGTGACCCCCAGATCTTCTTCTGCAGCATCTATCCTAGGCCATCATTTCCCATTTTCTGTGTGCAATTGATTGTTCCTTCCTAAGCGGAGTACTTTGCATTTGTCCTTTATTGAATGTCATCCTATTTTCTTCAGACCATTTCTCCAGTTTGTTCAGATCATTTTGAATTTTAATCCTATCCTCCAAACCACTTGCAACCCCTCCCAGCTTGGTATCCTCCACAAACTTTATAAAAGGACTCTCTGCCATTATCTAAATCACTGATGAAGATATTGAACAGAACCAGACCCAGAACCAATCCCTGTAGGACCCCACTCGTTATGCCCTTCCAGCATGACTCTGAACCACTGATAACTACTCTCTGGGAACGATTTTCCAACCACTTATGCACCCATCTTGTTGTAGCTCTATCTAAGTTGTACTTCCCTAATTTGTTTGAGAAGGTAATTTTGCTGGCTCTGCACCCCCAATGTCTTCTACTCCCTGGCATCATAGTTGAAATAGAAACACTGTACCAAGGCTTTTCTAACTTCTCCCACAGCAGCCACCATTACTACAGGATCTCTCTTAAAAGGGGTTCCCTACTGAAGAGGGAGGGCAAGGTAACACAGCCCCCAGCTGGGTGCCTTCTCCTGAGGAATCTCCATGGGACCCCAGAAAGATATGGGTCACATTCCCAGCCCCACCCCCATCCAGTGCAGGCCTACCACCTGGCCTAGGGATCCCAACCCTACAGAGAGCTCTCCATGGGGTCTTGAGAAGAGGGAACAGTGCCACAGAAGTGGCGGAGCCTACCCTCCTCTGTCCAGTAGGCAGGAAAGCTGCATGTGGAGGGTGCTTATCTCCATGCTCAGATTTAGAGGGCCACTCTCTGGCCCATTATCAGTGATTTATCATACACCCAGTATCCAAAGGCTATCGCTTAGATGAGGTGCTGCGTCATGGCTGGTGAGACTCCACCAGGTCTCCACAGGCAACTAGCTCATGCTCTAGAGCACAAGGGTCAAGATAGGTGATAGAATGGCCAGGTTTACCAGGTGTATCCACTGCTTGCAAGGTGGCCCCAGTGTTCTACTCAGAATAAGACACTTGTCCCATCTTCAGTATTATTGGCCGAATTACATCCTGTGGTGGTAGTCATTGCCTTCTCCCCCTTTGCTATATTTACAGGGCCTCCTAAAACAACCCATAACTCACATCTCCAATCCAGTCACCCCACCAGCTTCTAAACCCTCCCAAGCATCTAGGACAAGCCACCCAAGCAGTCATCCTCCCAGCTGTCAAAGCTGGTTACATCTATCAATACAAGATCTCTGCCTACTCCTCCCACCCTTGTGGATAAGTGGACCTAACCAGACTCTTCCATTGGCAAAAATCATTTGCCCACCTCCAGATGCCATTCCGACCACATACTTTTTAATTTCCTGCCCAGACATTATTAAGGAAGGTCACACTGGCCTGTTTTAGTAATCTGACATTCCTTTCAATGTACCATAAACCAACCAGCAGGTGGCAGTCTGAGCTCAACTACGAATGCTGTTTCCCCCATCAGTACTGTTAGACGCAGGGTTTGGTCCTAAAACCAGGCTTTAGCAATACGGTAGCAGATCACCCTCCCAAGCCCTAAAACAGTGAACTCACATTTGCAGGGGAACCTCCTACTTGTGGCAGTGTGGGATGCAGGCATCCTTCAGGAAAGGGGGGGTGCTTGCTGTGATCATTTGTATGTCAGCCCCAGATTGTCTTCCTAGATCAGACATTAGCTCAGCTATGAACTCTGGGGCCAACATTTCCAAACCTGGATGCCTAATGTTAGGCTTCTAGATTCATGTTTAGGCACTGGAATAAATGACCTGATTTCCACCCTGCAAACTCCACCGCCAAAGGCTGAGCAGACAGCAGCTCCCAGACATGATATAAAGGGAGCTCCCTTCTGAGCTGGGTCATCCAGGAGCTGGTCTGGCTGTCTGCTGGTCAACACAGGAGTTGTCCCTTGCGGGATCAGAGTTCAGGTCCCAAGCTCCCAGGGACTTAGTGCAGGAAAGAGCAACTTCCAACTCGGACAAGCTCGGTAGCAATCTCCCGCTCGCTTGGTTGGTATGAGAGATCCTCCGTTTGGCTGACTGACCATCAGTTTGTAGATCACAAAGGTCCTGGATAGAGTCTTAGCTGCGGGGTGGGGGGGAGGGTGAGTGTGTGTGTGTATGGCATACAGCAAGCCCAGCCACTGGATTAAAGGGCTCTGTTCATGGTCATGTCCGCTCCAGCCTCTTGCCATACAAGAGGAACACAGAGAACTCCCAGCCTGGCAGAGATTGTCTTTTATTAAAACGCATCACCACAGTGTTTTATACAATTGGGCATAGATGAACCAACCATTTACAATATCCCAATACAACCAGCTCTGAAAGCCGTGATCCTGAGGATAGGGTGACCAGATATCCTGATTTTCGGGGCTTTGTCTTATATAGGCGCCTATCACTCCCCACCCACTTGCTGTCTGGTCACCCTACCTAAAGAGCAAAGCAATCTCATCTTCTAATGTGCAATCGTCTCCAGAGGTACAAAGGCATGCAGTAACCAGTGAACACTACATACTATCTTCCACTGGAGAGCTACTGCTCAGATAATGAGAAAAGTTTGTGGTGCATCATGGGTGTGTAGCATTCCCCTCCATTCCTAATTACAGCCACCTGAGCCCAAAGAGCAGCAAGGCTCTGTGATTGGGAAATGTGCCTCTTGATCTTGTCCTGTTCTTCCTCCTCCGGGTTCTGTGAATGCTAATGTGTTAAGCCTGCTTGAGGGACTAACCAGCAGGATTTCTTTTTTCCAGGTGAGGCAGAGGGTTTCCTCCACGTTGCAGACAGTCTTGCTAAGATAGTTAATGCCAGGTCGCACTCAGCTCCCCGGGGAGTGGGTTTCAGAGCGCTAGAGCGCACTCCAAGTCTAGAGGCAGATGGTGGACAGCTCAAATTCCCTCAGCAAGAGGGAGGTGAAAAAGGTAAGATTGACTGACTGACTGACTGACTGAGGTAGCGCAGTAAAACTCCTCAAAAACAACAAGGCGTTCGGTGGCACCTTAAAGACTAACAGGTTTATTGTGGCATAAGCTTTTGTGAGTAAAAAAACCCCACTTCGTCAGATGCATCAACTACTCGGTGTATGATACTATGCTTAGAGCTACAGCCTGGAGCCTATATAACTGTAATTGGGGTAGGCTTGTGCTGAAGAAACTAGCTCATTTTCTGGTTATTCAGGTTCCGGGTACCCCTCCTACCACTGTTGTTTAATTTGTATCGCAGTAGCACTTAGCGGTACCAGCTGAAATCAGGACCCCACAATGCTAGCTCCTACACAAACACTTAGTGGCACACAGAGGCTAGCACAGTAGAGCCCTGCTCTCAGTTGAGTGCTACTGTAGTACAAATAATTAATAAAGCTCATGAGAATCTTGAAGTCTGAATTGAACATGACAGAGAGCCTGGGTGGGGAAGCAGAGGCACAGGTAGATGAAATGACTTGCCGAGGGTTGTGCTGAAGGCAGAGCCAGAAATAAATCCATAGTCTTCTGAGGCCGAGCCCAGTGCCTTATTCACTGGACCATGCTGCCTTTGTGACTTGCTTTCTCCTTCTGCAAGGTGACTGCACTGACTGCATGATCCACTGGCTACACTATATTTCTGGATCATTTGTTTTTCCCAGGCTCAGTGGGGAATTCTTTCTCTTTTGGTGTGAGGTTTTCAGGACTCTTTTCATTCAGAGGAGGGCCGCCAGACATGGTAGCATGTTCCTTGCTCTGGTTGTTTGACAAGCGGACGCCTCATAGCTTGCCAGAGCTGCCACTAGCAGATGTTGCTCCTGAGTGGCGGGGTGGAGCCTTGTACTCCCACTAGCCACTTCAGGGTCTTGTCTTCAATATCAGATACTCCTTGAAGAAAGCAAGAATAACAGGGATTAAACCCCAGTCCCACTCCCTGACTGGAGCAAAATTCTATAAGGGCATAATAAATTACTGGAACTCGTAACGGACAAAGAACATCTCCTATTCCAGAGTGTGCTACAAACGTCTGCCTAAAACCTACATGCAGGTCTGTCATTGTATATTTTACCTGGTTCAAGCCACAAAATGGGAGTTGCTTTCTTACAAAGCTGATCATTCTCTGTGGTGTAGACAATGAGCTAGTTCCTTTAAGTCTGCTACCTGGATCCTGCTAGAAGAAAGTAATTATTTCTTTTTCCCCCCCAACTCCAGATGAAGAAGAGAGGATAATAGAAACGATAGTTGCATTGTTAAGACAATCTGGGGATAAACTGGAAGAAACGGTAATATACACTTTATTTTTTAAATGAACAGTCCGCTCTGTGTACGTTTCATTATACGTTTGCCAGCAGTGAATGCCATGATTAAGGTTGCAAAACCATTTCCATTCTGATCCTTTTTCACACATTTAGAACTTTCTGAAACTTTCATTATTTGGGCTGAGATTTTTCTGCGCTAGGCCTCGCATCTTAAGATTTGGGCTTTAAGATTTTCAAAGGCACAAAAGAAAGTAGTTGCCTGGCCGCTATTCATTTCAATGGGAGTTGGACACCTAACTGCCTTTTGGGCTTCTGAAAATCTCCCCCTTTCAGCATTAAGCTTGGCACATGAGTAGTTTTCAGGGACCGCCCTAAACCAAAAGGTGCCCCAGGTGAGGAGCATCTTCAGTGCCGCCCCCCTTCCAATTGTTAAACTTTTGAATACCTTATTTTTTAATTGCATTTGTATCCCATTTCATGACTTTGGTGCATGATGTGCATGCATGATTTATCCCCGTCCTATAAAATAATACACTTTCACGCTAGATCTGTAAATCTGTATCTATTCATGCCGTACAAAAGCAAATAAAAACTTGTTTCCACTAAGATTGTAGAAACTTTTTAATTTTAAGAATAACTGAAATGTACTATCAAAACCTGAAATGCTTTACTTCAAACATTCTATTTTCCCTTTTGTCACTAACAACAAAAGCAGCACCTGGAGCCTGACACCCCAAGTGGTCGCCTGCCCCTAAATCTGGTCCTGCCCAGGGAGGTTAAACTCTCTCTGTAACTTTGGAGGGGAAATCTTTTTTGAATTAAGAGTTAATGTTTGAAAATTCTACCCTGAGCTTATATAAATTGCCCCCTGCATGAATTCATTAGTTGGAGCTGAGGCTGGGATTTTCAGCACTGAAAGCATAGGTCTCTGCTACTGTACTTAACTCCTGAAGCTGGTAGTGATAGTAGATTCTTGTCCTCTACATAGACCAATCACTAGAGGGAGGACATGTTAAACCCTGAACCAATAGATTTCACATACACAGACACATCACTGAGAGTACAATCCTACACACACTTTACTCATGCAAGTAATCCCCACTGATGTTAGTAGGACTGTGTGAGTAAAGTAACTCCTGTGTGTACGTTTGATAACTCTCATGGGTAAGTTTGCAGGATCAGGCCCTAAGCTTGAAAATGCAGACTTCATACATGAGAGCACATCTCTCTAGATCTAATAACGAATATGTTGTTGAATGCAGACTCCATGGAGACGCTAGGGTGGATTTCACTTTTCCAAGCACTAGATTCCCCCTCAGTAAAACTCTGTATTTATGACCATGGCTTTAATGGATTAATAGTTATGCTCCTTTTTCAGATAAAAAGGGACAGCACTTTCTATCACTGCGTCACAAAGATGCTCTCCTATGCCTTCTTCAAGAAACTCACTGATCAGTACCTGGAGGAAGTCCCAGAAGATTCTACCAGGGAGACAGAAGGCAAAATACAGTGCACCAAAGCTGCCTTTGTGATGGAAGTTACAACCAGACTTACAGCCGTGGACAACCATCCTATGAACATGGTCCTTGGGTTTGGAGTAAAATACCTCAAAGAAAATTTTAGCCCTTGGATTCAGAACCATGGTGGATGGGTATGAGACTTCATTCTTTAGAATGATAGGCTAGCACACCTCTATGCAATGAACATCCTTTTGGATTGAAAACAGATGTTAGAAAATTGTACTGCTTAAATATCTCTTTTAGAGGATGAGAGTGGTCAGGGACTATATTACATGACTATACATTCAACAACATATAGAGGGCCTAAACGTATCCAGTTCTGAGAGCAATGAGAGCCATGGGCACAAAGTATCTCTGAAAAACATGCAGTTAGCACCTCAGGAGCCTATCTTGTGATCCCCTGACACAAGACATCTCAATCTTTGCACATAGAGGCCCAGATCCTCACAAGTATATAGGCTCCTAACTCCCATTAAAATCTGTGGAAGTTAGGAGTCTATATACCTTTTGAGGATCTGGGCCATAGTCCTTTAACCCTGTAATGTAACCCCCTAGCATGGCCCTCTTTTGACCATGCAGAGTCCCAGTTCTCTACATCTTCTGTCCTGAAAGCTTCCTTAGTCTGTTTAAGGTCTCAAGTTTATGCCCTCTTCCATGCTGTCCCTTATGGAATGCATTCCCACTTCTGTGCCCCCAACAGCATCTCTCCTCTTTCAGCTGTCTCCTTAGAGCTCACCTTTGAAAAGTCCTCCCAGGCCAATTCCCTTCCCAGCAATGCCTCTGTTAGGGTTACCATATTTGAACATTCAAAAAAGAGGACACTCCGGGGGTAGGGGGGGAATTTGCTCGTGCCAACTCTGCCTCCTCCCTGCCCCATTGGACCCCTTCCCCAAATCCCCACCCCGGTCCCGCCTCCTCCCCTGTGTGTGTGCACCACGTTCCCCCTCCATCCCAGCTGCGCAAAACAGCTGTTTCACGGCACACGCGCTGGGAGCTAGGGAGGAAAGTGATCAATATTCACTCTTTCTTGAATGATCAACTCTTCTTTGGGGAAAAATGATAATGGCAAAATCCCAGACATTTTTAGATATTTAAAAATTCCTGGCAGATGGCTATTTAAGAACCAAAAAGCCAGACATGTTCAAGAAAATATGGACGTACTGTAACCCTAGCCTTTGTGCGCCCCCAATCTGTTGACCCACAGCTCATTTGCCTGAATTTGATTGCAAGCTCCTCAGGCAAAGGACCTTGTTATTCTGTGTTCTGCAAAGCAGTGTGGTCAGCTGTGACGCTGTATAAATATGTTGCAGCTCTAGACTCTACGTCTGTGGTAGGCAACCTGTAGCCCATACATGGCCCGTCAAGGTAATCCGCTGGCAGGCCGCAAGATAGCGTGTTTACATTGACTGTCTGCAAGCATGTCCACCCACAGCTCCCAGTGGCTACGGTTTGCCATTCCCAATCAATGGGAGCTGTGGGTTGCCCACCACTGCTCTACATCAATTCAGATCGCTGGTATGCAGGGCTGTGGGGTTGATGGCCTCACAGGTCAGCAGTGGAGAAATCCATTGTTGTGATGCGCACATTGACAGCATTTGAAAAGGGGTACAGTCACACTTCCTATTTTACCAAGTCCTTCTCTTTTCTTCTGTTGCAGGAACATGCCTTGGGATTATTGGACGAGGAAGAAGTAGAATAAACTTGAGCAGATTCACTCTCCAGGGCTTTTAATAGCCTTGGACAGGCACACATGCTGTAGCTTTACAACAATCCAATGCCAGAGTGATTTTGAGAGGGGAGGGTAGAAGGGGAGAATGCTGGGACTTGAAGGTCCCCAAGGGAAGGAAGTGTGATCACTCTTCTTGAAGCCTTCTGTTAAGGTGGAAGTGTTAATCAATGTGTAGGAGAACAAGACTAGCTACTTTTCTCAGGGTGAGCAAACATCTCAGTGGCCCTAGAGTGCCACCTTGTGCCTCATGGCTAACATGACTTCAGATGCCTTTTTAAACCTTGTAATGGATGTATCTTAAGGTTCAAATACCACAGTGTGTAATCCATGCCAAGCAACTCCTGAATGTAACTGAGCTACAGCTGCAAGGCCAGATTTTCATGTGCTCTGAACCCAGTGATGGGGCCAGATTTTCCCACAGAGCTCAGCGTGTTAAGTGCTGCAAATGCTTTTCAGAAGCTGACCCTTAATGCTATCACCTTACCACTTACAATCAGGTTATGCTAGAGCTGTATTTGGGCCTTGTGTGTGTTTCAGCCAATCAGAGGCCAGTTTGTTATGAAATAAGGTGGATTCTGACCAGGGGACACTGTATTTATTTTCCCTAGCTTGAATCACAGACCACCGTTCAGCAAGGTCCAGCCAGTGCTGTTTTTAACATGCTGCAAATGGCGTAGCACTGCTGGATCCACATCCCTCTTCTGGTGTGGTGCTGCTAATGTGTTAATTGCTCACCAAGAAGGACAGAGAGACAAAGTTGGCTTGAATGTAACAGTGAAAATTAGCCATCCAAAAATAAGCAGCTGTTTTTTATTTTGCTCAGTGTTAGTGGGCTGGGATGAGAGGGATTTTTCTCCAGCAGCAGGAGGGGTCAATGCAGAACCTCAGTCAAGTGAGCTGTTTCTTATTTAAACAGTCTTTCACTTTTCATACATGTCACAGTTTCTCTTTGAGTGCTACCTCCTTCTTCTACAGCAGAGCTCAGTCATACCCCTTGGCCTGAGATGATGGCTTTGATTTGCTGTAGGCTAGTGTGAAAACTTGTGCACCACTCTTGTAGTTGCAGTTAATTGCATTCACTGCATCGCAGTCCAAAATTTCATTGCTGGGCCAAACACTAGTTCTCCATGATGAATAAAAGAGTGCAATAAATCTACTTGTGTTTTTTGGAGTGAGGCAGCTGACAACCACCACCTCTAACCCTACCCAAGTACTTGTAGTCCACTCTTTATAGAGGGGGGGGATCCTTTTGGATCTTACCACTGACATTCTGTACAGGGCTGAGGGGTTTTTGTTGCATCCAACTATCCCATGTGGGATGGTTGCTGGTGTGGGTTTAACCAGAGCAGGATTATGCTACTTATTAGAGCAACAAATCCAGCTTTAAAATGGGGCTGAGCTCTGAGGTGTTTAAGCCACGTTTAGAAAAGAGCACAGCTGCTTCCCAGGCTGATTTTTGTTTAAAGGGTAACAAACCCATCCTGTAGCTCTTCCTCAAGGGGGTACGTCATCAAATGGCTTCCCAAGCCCTACAGAATAATAACCTGAGCACTTGTGATCACCCCAGGCTAACCCATGTGGTCCCTCTAAGAGGCTATGTAGACTGGCAAATGAAACCTACCATTATCTCCGGTCTCTGGAGCTGACATCTCCTAGCTCTGCTTGCCCTTGCTTGCCGGGCAGGTGCCACACAGGGAAAGTGGACTTAGTTTGCCAACTTACGCACGGTGCTGGATTTTCTACCGTACTGCTGTCTGCTGCACCAGCCTCTGGCCAATAGGAGGTGCTGAAGATGTACCTCAAAGCAAGCATTTCACCTCTCCATTATGTACTACTATAATTTTCAGAGGGCCTAAGCGTACCCAGTTCTGAGAGCGGTGGGAGCCATGGGCACTAAGTATCTCTGAAAAACATGCAACGAGGCTCCTGAAGTGCAATCAATGCAACCTAGGGCTCTGTGCTCCAAAGTTTGCTAGCTGCATAACATCATGTGATCACACCTCTCCTACCCACCCATCTCCTTTTCCTGTGTGGGCAGAGAGCTCTCCTTGTGTTTCAGTGGTTGGCAAATCAGCAGGATAAAAAAAGAGAACTATAATGAATTAGTGGGGGGAAAGAAACTCAATAGACCCCATTGCCTGAAAAGAGGATGTACTGGCTAGACCTAGCTCCATAAAAAGGCTCATGATCTGGAACAAGTGATGGGTTAAAAGTTCACAGCTAATTGAAAAGAGAGAGAGAGACAACGCCCCACATCTGCATAAATCCAGCTGTGAGCATTAAGAGGCTTTGTGTAGGTGATGTGCTATACATTGCAATTACATCAAAAGCACAAAGGGGGCCAGGGGGACCTTATCCTGACTGGGGTTACTGTAATAAAAATATTAAATACTAATCAACCAAAGCTCACGTTGGAGAGTCCGACCATGCAGAGTTCTGCCACGTCCCATGACTTTCTCACAGTGGGCACAAGCTGCTGAGTGGCAGCACTGATGGTGAAAAAGTGCATTCCTACTTGACCCAGCACCATCTCCTCTAATGGCCCTACTATACCTCACCCACAGGAGCGGTGGGAAATATCACAAATGTTGCTCTGGCTATTTGCATAGCGCAGGTAGAGGTGGGGATGCTGTTATGAGGAAAGGGCTGTCTCTAGGTGACTTGAACATGCTATTGCCCAGCTCCTCCGCTCATACCAAAAACTACCTCAGCAAGTCTCACCTAGCTTAGAGGCAGCATGATGAGCCCAGTGGTGAGCTGGAGCCGATTCGCGTGAACCAGTTGTTAAATTTTGAAGCCAGTTTAGAACCAGTTGTTAAAGGGGTAGCCATCCCACCTGAGCTCCGGTCCTGTCCGTCCCACGTGAGCTCTCGGCTGGGGAGGCTCCCCTGAAGAATTTTTACTCACCCAGCAGCACAGCGGGCCTTCGGCAGCACTTCAGCGGCAGGCCCTTTAGTCGCTCGGTGCCGTCGGTGGCAATTCAGCGGCGGGTCCTTCACTCGCTCCGGGTCTTCGGCGGTGGGTCCTTCAGTGCCGCCAAAGACCCAGAGCGAGTGAAGGACGTGCCACCAAAGGCACGGAGCAACTAAAGGAACCGGTTCTTCAGCTTCTGGCAGCTCATCACTGGATGAGCCCCTATACCAGCAACAGGCTCAACTAGCCCCACCCCACTGTGCCTGCAACCAATGCCAAGCCTGGAGGCAGAATAAAAGTAGAGAGGCTGGCCCAGTTCAGGGCTGACCGGCCAGGAAGGAGCTCTGCCTGAAGGGAGCTTTGCTTGTAGCTGTTCCCAAGCCTGAAGGAAAAGGCAGGAAGGCCCCCGTGGGAGAACTAGTGGGCAGCCCAGTATTAAAGTGGGTTTGCTTTTCGTTTTAGATAATTTTGGGGCTAAGCCCCTCCACACCTTTTCCCCCTCCCACCCAGAAGAGGTAGGACTGAAGGCACAACTAGCCCATGGGCTGAAGACCACCTCAGTGGACACTGGAGAGATTTCTCTCCCCATGGTCACATTCCAGTCCATAAGGGGATGCTGCTCCAGCCACAGGCAGGGCACACAGAGAGGCAGAGTGTGTGAGAAAGCGGATTTTTTTTTCTGCTGACTGCCCCCATGGAAAACAAGTGCCGAAAACATCCTGCTCAGCATTAAATGAATTCAGGTGCCCACTGTTCTCTGGCTGTATTTAACATGTGGTTAAAAAAAATCCCTGGAGATTTCAAGAAGCTGAGGCCTGGTCTGCACTTAAAACTTAGCATCACCTAGCTACACTGCTCAGGGCTAGGAAAAATTTCACTCCCCTAGTGCCATAGGTAGGTTGACTTAACCCCCCTTCCCCCCCCCGCCCGTGTAGATACCACTAGGTCAATGTAAGAATTCTTCTGTCAATCAAGCTACCGCCTCTCTGAGAGGAAGATTATCTACAGCGCTGGAAGAACCCCTTCTGTCGCTGGCGGAAGCATTTATACTAGCGGGCTCGAGTGGCAGAGCTGCGGCCTTGTAGCTGTGCTGCTATAGTGTAGACACACCCTGAGTCTGGTTGGCTGTGGCCTTTGTCATGGTTTGTTAGTTAAACTTGTGACTTTATGGCTGGGATGAAAGCCCTAGAGCCTGAGGGGGTCTCTGTCCAAAACACAGGGAAAGCAGGGACAGGCTGTGTGTCAGAGGCCTTTCTGTCAGCAGCTGGGAGAGCAAAGAACGTGCTATGGGGCGGGGACACGTTAACTTCCCGAGGCATGATCACGTTGCAGTTCTAGAGAGAAGGTGGGGGTGTCCTTGTGAGTGCCCTTCTCTAGCAGAGCTGCAGGCCACTAGGAGGAGCCAAATCCAGTCTTTCTGCACCTCAGTGTTGCCAAACCCCAAATTAAAAAAACATGTTAGCGCTCCTCCCATGCCACAAAAATCATGGGATGTTCTTTCTGGTTATTTTTTAAAGTTCGGTTCTTTGTATTTGCCTTCTGGATCTTGATGCCCTAGGGTGTGCTTGTGGAAAAAACCCATAAGGACTAGGAACTCTTTTAATGAGAGAGCTGTGATTCTCATGCAACCACAAGACTCCAGGAGCTCGGGGCAAATATTGTGAGACTCATGATAAAATCACAAGAGTTGGTAACACTCCTACTCTGTAGTAAATGTGCTGGAGTGTTTTAGGGGTGGTGTAACCAGGGAGTTGGGGAAGGGGTTTCATTAGTCCAGCCATATTTTTTGAACTACTTATTTAGGAAGTTTTTACAAGTTTCCACATCCTTGCCCTATATGTATCAGAAACAAAACAAGCGTTACAAGTTAGCTTTCATTTAAAGAGACATTATAGTGAAATATAGTCATCAGATCTTTCTGTTTAACAGGGTGTCACCATATTACAGAATAGGCATCATTACAAAACCCATGTCATTTCTTTCTAGTGACTATTAAATTGAGTGAAATCTCCATGCACATTTAAGAGACCAGGTATGTCTATCAAATGTTAATATTCAAATATATTGGACAGGTTGCTGGGCGGGTTTTGGCAGGTGAATGTATTTTGACTACATAAAAGGGAAAAAAAGGTAAGCAAATATCTGTCTATCCAACTTCTGTTTACTTTGCTGGGTCCACAATTGGTGTGTTAATTTTTCCATAACCACAAGCTCCCATTTTTGGGGAACAGTTTCTCAATGGTTGGGCTATTTTTCTTTTGTCAAATGAGAGGCTGGCAATAGCCAAGCAGCTACTAGGAGATGAGAGATGAATCTCTTGATTTCCTTTTGTGTGACCATTTCCACTAAGAATCCCCAGGAGGATTACCAAGGGAGCGTTTAGTAATATATATCCAACCATTTGTGATCTTTGTTTAGGGATTGCATCCTAATACTCTCTGATGACTGGAGACATCCATCCTATATGCATAAAATCTCCTCTTTCATCACAATTTCTCCAGCATTTATCACCATTCTATCTCTCTCTATATCTTAATCTGACTGGTGTGAGGTGCTATTGGAAATAGTATCTTAAAGACATTTTCTTTTATTGTGTTACAGGCAGAGGTTACTGGTCCTCTTTTCCAAATCAATCCCCATTTCTCTGGGGTAATTTGTCTATCCCATCCTTTTCCTAGTGTGTCATATATAGACCGATATAAATTAGTTGTAATTTTTTTGTTTTCTAGCTGACCAGACAATCGCTTCTATTGAAGTCATCTTTCTGTCTAAAACAAGTTTTCTAGAAAGTTGAGGTACGTTGCGCCTGACTTGAAAGTCCTGGTACCAGGGGAGAGTGGGCCAGGTTTAAGTTAGTTTTGATCTCTCAATAAGTTAGAAAGGTTTCTTTACTGAATAGCTGGCCAACCGTGTGTATTCCAAGGCTCCCCCAAACTTTGAGGCTCCCTGGTTCACGCTTTGGCTTAAGAACTGGATTATTGGCAATGGGTGTCATCAGTGAGGAAAAAGAACTGATCTTATCTCTAGTTCTATCCCAAACCCACCGAGTAGCCTTTGCTAAAGTATCTGTGTAAACTCCTGGAGGGATGTGATTTTATTTTTTTAATTAATCCATGGCAGCCTAGTAATGTTTACAGTGCCATGATTTTCTTGTTCAATAAAGACCCAGTGTTTGACTGAGTTAGACCACCCCAATCCATTACCATTTTGAGCTGGCTGTCTTCTCAGAATAT